TTCACATTGTTTTGTTTCTTAGTTATTTTGTTGGGATGTGTGGTGATGGCGCAAATGATTGTGGCGTAAGTATAGTTTTTGTGATTTACTTTTGTAGTTCTTACTGTAGCCTAAATCATATTCACAAAACTTAACCAGTTGTCTTAAAATTATTAGGCTTTGAAGAGGGCACACGGAGGCATTTCCTTATCAGAGCTCGAAGCTTCAGTGGCATCTCCCTTTACCTCTAAAACTCCTAGTATTTCCTGTGTGCCAAACCTTATCAGGTAGTACAAATTAAAATTTTTCTCATCCCTTTTTCTCTTGCTCTAATAATACAGAAGAGAAAATTACAAAAAGTAATGTGAATTTGTTTAATATTAGCAGATTAGCACATTTGAGCTATAACTTATTAGTAACAGATTGATTTCTACTCCTCATTTAGTTTAGTTCTTTTGGTGGATATAAGCACTTTGTTGTAGCCATTGAATGTTGATGTTCATGTGTCAAGATAAAGTTGTGGTTTGGAAAAGGAGTTTAAAATGCTTTTATTCATATGCCAGTGTTTGATTTCTTTTCACAGGGAAGGCCGTGCTGCTTTAATAACTTCCTTCTGTGTGTTTAAATTTATGGCATTGTACAGCATTATCCAGTACTTCAGTGTGACTCTCCTGTATTCTGTGAGTATTAACCTTGTGTGCAGAGGTAACACTTGATGTGCACAGTAAATTAAGATGTTGAGTATATATGTTTGATTTTGAGTGCATCCATTAGTAATTGTTTATGTGGAGTAGTACCTATAAATTTACCTTCAATTTACTGTAGTTTGAGTAGCAGATTGAAAAAGTTAAAATGAGAAAAGATGTTTCAACAGTGGTTTGTTGAATTTGGGGAATGGTTTGCATTTGGAGAAAAAGTATAAACAGCAATGGCCACAGGTACCCTGTCAGATTTTATAATCAAAGTGTTCTGACATCCTAAAGACTCATGGTGACACTATCCCATTTTACCATTTGTAGAAAATATCAGAAGGGATGGTATTAGATGAGGATACTAATTTACAACGTTGAATATTTTGAGTAAATGTTAGTGTTTTCTTTTCGCCAAAAAACCATGTTGGCCAGGATGATCTCGTCTCTTGACCTCGTGATGTGCCGGCCTTGGCCTCCCAAAGTGCTGTTATTACAGGTGTGAGTCACGGTGCCCGGCCTATTGAACGAATTTTAAGGAGATGCCTTTTATACTAATATACTAAATCAAATATTTGTAAATGTATATTATAGTTAATTTCAGAGACACATATATTTCAATTTTTAAGCAGGTCCAAGTGTCATTTTTAAGTTGTCATTATTGGGAAAATCCAAACTATTAATAAAACCTGGGGACACTATAAAAATAATTCCAAAAACCTAATAATGTTTTTAAAATTACTTCTATAGATCTTAAGTAACCTAGGAGACTTCCAGTTTCTCTTCATTGATCTGGCAATCATTTTGGTAGTGGTATTTACAAGTGAGTATTTTGCTTTGCTATTAATTTTTAAAGTGTATGAAATTCTGATGTGACTTATTAAATTTTTGTAAATTTACATCAACAATTGTAACATAGCTCACACCTCTCCAGATTCCTTGTAAATATATTATTTTATTACCAGTTGTTTATATCTTGCCCCATTTTTTATTGTTCTGTCTCTATTGTTTTTTTTCCCTGAAATATTTGAAAATAAGTTTTGAGTCAGTATGCTCTTTTGCCTCTGACAATTTTAGTGTATATTTTCTAAAAGCAAAACCATTATTTTATATAACTAAATACAGTTGTGAAGATCAGGAAATTTAACATTGATATAATATTATCTGGTCCAAAACCCATATTCAGGTTTTGTCATTTGTCTCAACAATGTCCTTTATGCCTATTTTCCCGTAGTCTCCTAGATTAGAACAAAATATATCTTCAGACATTGCCAGATATTCCCTTGGGGTGCAAAATCCTCTGGTTGAGAACCACTTATCTTTAGTAGGTGATAAAACTAGTGAAAGTTTGATAGGGAGCAGGATTACAGCGTATCTTTTCACAAGGTGCTAGTTACAAAGGGAAAAATAGAAATTTCTTTTTTTTTTTTTTTTGAGACAGAGTCTGGCTCTGTCACCCAGGCTGGAGTGCAGTGGCACGATCTCGGCTCACTGCAACCTCCGCCTCCCGAGTCCCAGCAATTCTCCTGCCTCAGCCTCCTGAGTAGCTGGGATTACAGGTGCACACCACCATGCCCGGCTAATTTTTATATTTTTAGTAGAATCGGGGTTTCACCATGTTGGCCAGGCCAGTCTCTAACTCCTGACCTCAAGTGATCCGCCCACCTCGGCCTACCAAATGGCTGGGATTACAGGCGTGAGCCACTGTGCCCAGCTGAAAAATAGAAACTTTATAGTGGAAAACTTGTGTTGTATACCACCTGAATAAGTAATGAAAGCCTTGTTAAAAACTGTTTCTCCTATGTTTATATTTCTTCAAACATTGTTAATATCGTAAGAGGAAGAAGTATGTATTATTTTAACTAGTTTTGCAATTAAAGATTCAGAAAATAATGATCTCTTAAATATATGAGATGATCAACTTTGTAGTTATTGTGTTTATATTTAGTTTTACTATTTTTTTAATTTAAAATTATTTATTTATTTATTTATTTTGTAGAAATGGGGTTTCACTGTGTTGCCCATGCTAGTCTCAAACTCCTGGGCTCAAGTGATCCTCCCACTATGGCCTCCCAAATTGCTGGGATTACAAGCATGAGCCACCATGCCTGGCCTAGTTTTACTTTTATTTGTTAATATTACTGTTGAATTTCAATAGAAATGTAAAAATTATTCCTGAGGCATTTTTTAAAAAGCCTACACTGTTTACTTTTACGGATTATCTAAATGTGTACGATATGTGACTTGGTTTTTGGAGATTTTTTATGTTAAAGAATTGCTAGGCAAAAACAAATTTTTAAAGTTCCTAAATGAATCTAGTTATGCCTTATGTAGTGACAGATGAATGTAGATACAAACCTTTCCTCTTTTTCTTTTCAATATAGTGAGTTTAAATCCTGCCTGGAAGGAACTTGTGGCACAAAGACCACCTTCGGGTCTTATATCTGGGGCCCTTCTCTTCTCCGTTTTGTCTCAGATTATCATCTGCATTGGATTTCAATCTTTGGGGTTTTTTTGGGTCAAGCAGCAACCTTGGTATGAAGTGTGGCATCCAAAATCAGAGTAAGTTGGTCAATCTGTGTAAAAATCTATATAAAATATGTGCAACATGTGTGGTATAAAAATGAGTTTAGAAGTTTATATAAAAGTTTGTGCCAGGTGCGGTGGCTCACACCTGTAGTCCCAGTACTTTGGGGAGGCCAAGGCAGGTAGATCACTTGAGACCAGGAGTTCGATCAGTTGAGACCAGGAGTTCGAGACCAGCCTGGTTAACATGACAAAACCCCGTCTCTACTAAAAATACAAAAATATTAGCCGGGCATGGTGGTGCCTGTCTGTAATCCCAGCAACTTGGGAGACTTGAAGCAGGAGAATCACTTGAACCTGGGAGGCAGAGGTTGCAGTGAGCCAAGAGATGGTTTTTTGAGACAAAGTTTGCATGCCGACTGCTTTAAACACTTGCATAATTTGGCCTGTATTTGCCTGTATGTCACGGTCACTCCTGTCTTTGGGAAGATGTTCAGGCAAAAACCTAATAATCACTACCAAGATGGGGATCTTAGATCAGTTTCTTAATTTGCTATTGAGCCTTACTTATCTGTAAAATAAGAAAGTTGGAATTAATCTCTGGGGCCTCTTCTAAACCCAGAGTGTTTTGTACTTCTAATCTCTCTTCCCCCAGTTTAGGAAATGGCATTTTGAAACTTATGGGGAAAAATAAATTAGGTGCATTTGCTATTTGTAGAGTGTAGAGTGCTCTGTAGATCACAAATTATAACATCATTTTAATTAAATGTGTTAATTTTGTAGAATTAAATTTTCAGGTGTAAACATTTATTTCTAGTTTGCTTGATTGAAGGGTATTATCTTTAAACATTTTAGAAGATTTTAAGAGATTTAACGTTACATTTTTTATGTGTGCATAAAAACACTGCACATGAAAAAAAGAAAAGAGGTGGAATTTTCTTGAGAATCTTTCCGTAGTTCACTTGCAGCATCATCTGTTAATGTTAATCACATTTTGTGAGCACTTACTTGCGTTTATAGTTAATGCTTCAGTAATGATCGTTGGGGACTTCTCATAATTAGTTGTTTGTGTGCCTCATGGTCCTGCCTACCTGAAAGTAGAAATGAGAGAGAGCCACAGCTGGAGAATACTGAGGGCCATCAAGCACTGGGGGCTTGCTAGGCATTTGCACAAGTCATCCTGCTAGTCCCCATGTCAACTTGTGATGTAGGTACCAACATTGACCAGCGAGGAGGTAGGCTCAGAGAGAGTAAATACTATTTCCTCAGTTCGCCCTGAAAAGTGATAGAGCTTGGGTCAAGCCCATTTTCTGTCTGCTTTTACTCTGCTAAAATTCCTGCCAAAATTAAAAAACTGAGGGGGCTTATTAAATATTTCTTACTTGATTCTAATTTTTTAAGTGATTGAGATGTCTGACTGAAGAGAAGACCCTTCATACTCTTTGTACCTGTTTTATATATCTTATTTTGATATTGTTGGACCTTTTGCTATAAATATCATCGTATTTCTGTTTGTTACGATAGTGATTCAGGGCAATTAAGGTAAGATTGGTTTCTTTTGGGAAATGAGTATTCTGTTTACTAATGCAAGCATTTTTTGCATGTGTTCTAGTGCTTGTAATGCAACCGGAAGCCTGCTTTGGAATTCTTCACACTTAGACAATGAAACCGAACTTGATGAACATAATATACAAAATTATGAAAATACCACAGTGTTTTTTATTTCCAGTTTTCAGTACCTCATAGTGGCAATTGCCTTTTCAAAAGGAAAACCCTTCAGGCAACCTTGCTACAAAAATTGTAAGTTTGGCATTTATTGTGATTTCCACCCTGCCTTGCCCCTTTAAAACTAATGTAGAAGAGAATAATTATAACTGTCTTTTCCACAGTAAACCAGATCTTCACAGATGGAATGAACTTAGTGATTTAGATGTTTACTCTTTTGTTTTACTTTCATTGGTAGTTGCCACCCTAAATTTAAAATTAAAGTCACCAGTGTTAAACACTGTTGTTTTTCACATCCTACTGCCTCTGGCTGCAGCTTTTATTTCTGCACCCCATTGCGGAGGGAGTTAGGATTGGAAGCAGAGACAGAGGTTCCTCAACCCATTGCGGAGGGAGTTAGGATTGGAAGCAGAGACAGAGGTTCCTCAACCCATTGCGGAGGGAGTTAGGATTGGAAGCAGAGACAGAGGTTCCTCAGTTGGAACAGTAGGTATTACACTTTCCCCCGGGGCAGTCTGCACAGCATCGGCCATCTTCTTCATTTCCGACACTGGTATGGCCTGTGTTCACCTCTGGGATTCTTCATTTCTAGTATCTTTGCATGCTATTGAAGAAAGGGCCATTCAGCACAGGCTGAAGGGGGGCCTGTGCCCTTGTGGACTTGTCTATGGCAGTAGAATATACCATTTTGATTGATCAAAATTAGAGTTTATGGAAAAAATCAGTTACTACATATAAATTGCCAATTAAAAAAATTAAGAATACACTAATATATGGAACAACTTTTAGACTTCTGCAGTATCTTGGAGCGAATAGCAATTATTCTTTTGCTGTAGTTATGACGAGGTGGCAGTGTTCTAGTTGGCAAGATGCCAGGTCACAGGTATCGGTATGTCATAGGAGTCACAACTGTTAGCGTCTCTGTCTCTCATATTAGCATTTATAAGGCATTTTCTCATACGTTATCTTATTTGTCACTTCTACCCTGTTGGTTTGTAGGGCAAGTTTTATTACTTTATATTTTGGACAGGTAAGATTAAAATCTGATCTTACTGGTAATTTTTCCTTTATTTGCCCCCTTTTTGGAACTTATGTTTCTTATTTTAAAAATTACTATATTATTACTTATTTATTAGTTATATATTGCTATATAACTATACTAATGACTGTTACTAAGAACTGTAAAAAATAACTATTTAAAAAATAACTGTTATTTATTAGTTATATATTGCTGTATAACCATACTAATAACTATGTTACTAAGAACTGTATTAGAACCATGCTATGGGATGAAAAACCTTCCATAGAAGATTTGCCATGGTATTTCTAAAAGGATTTTTTACTACCGATAACTTATTATAAGGTGAATTTAATCATTAACATTGGTATACGTTCTATTTTTAGTTCAACATTTTTAAATTTCAAGGAAATATTGAACACATTTAAGGGTAGCTAAAAACATCTATGAAAAAACATTGCTTTTTTTTTTTTTTTATTTGAAGAAAACTGGTATTCATACTGGTTTGCAAGCAAGACAGCTATATCAAGAAAGTTAATTTTAGAGATCTACCCTATCCACACTGTTACGATTAAAAAAGAGAAAGGCAGAATATTAGTTGCCTGTTTCTAAAAATGCATCTTCTATATGTTTGGAAAACTTTTTTAAAAAGGGTTAAGAAATTTTGTATTCTTGTTTAATTTCCAATTTACTAGAATAAAGAACACTGTTGTTGGCCACTGGATGATTTAAAAATGTATTATTATATTTAGCAGAAATACAAGCATAAAACTTGATTGCCTTTCCTATAATCAGCTTGTGTACTTCTCTCAGTGGGTAAACAGAAGCACTTTCTGTTATAAAACATGCCTTCTGAAAAGCACAAAAGGAGCAGTACAGTTGATGCAGACGTTCTGCTAGTTTTCACGTCTTGTCTGTTTGTCACGGGAGTCCATGCAGAGTCCTTTGCTAGGACCTGCCAGTTGTTGCTCTCTATAAATGGTGTGTAATGTATTAAATGTATTTTGAAATTATATTTTTAAGAATTAATCTCATCCTTAGGCATTTAAGGAACTCTCTTTTGAGTTTTTTCCTTGCTTGTACTGGTTCACTTTCAATCTAAATTAAACTTAACTTCAGTCTGTTTGGTTCCCTATTTTCAACTTGAGCTTCACAGTTAACGTTTTCTCATTCAGCTGCTTTCATTTCAAGGGTCGTGATATGCACTTAATTCTTAACACTCTCCTTTAGACATGATTTCTTGGATTTGGCTTCAATTTTTAATGCAGTTTCTTGTTGGATCAGCCCTACAGTTTATTGCTTGTGCTACCTAATCCCTTTGTCTGTCTATGAAGGCATTACTACTGAATTGCCAGTATCTTTCCTATTCAGGGCTTGTGTATCTTTTTCCTATTCATCTAGCATGCCTAAATTGGTTGAAGCAGTTCAGATACCTAGAGGCCCTACAGAATAAGGTGACCTTTTAAAGACATAACTGGATAAGGGAGAGCGATAGGGATAAAAAGGCTTAAGATTTGTGGCTGTAGGTTAGTTCTAGTTATTGTTTGGGGAAGGAACAAAGAGATATATATTAGGGATGAATATTGTATGTGTGTCTACCTTATTTCAGAGTCACTAAGGAGAATATGAAGGAAATCCTTTCTGGTACCTTATTTTGATGCCATAGTCCCTCGGTGGGATCTGGGATCATGAACAGCACATCATATGTTGCCACAAGCTGAAAAATATTTCATAATAACTTCAATTTAATGTTGCTATGTACTTTGAATACTTAAAAATCTACTATTTCCTACAGAATCCTTATATCCCCATTTTATAGATAAAATAATTTGACTGTAAATGACTTGTTCAGATTCACATAGCTTTGTGGAAGAGTCAATCTAAAACAATCTAAATCCCTGGCCTGCAATCACCAGTGACACACAATTTGTTTTGATATCTGTCTTCTGGTGAAGAATGTTTATTTTACACTTTAGTATAATTATTAAGCCATTGCTTATAATGCTAGGAGAATCTAGGAGCTGAGAGCATAGTCTACAAGAAATTCATACCTCTCTAAAGTGAATACCTAATTCTTCTATTCTTGGTTGAAATCCTTATTGATTTTAAAATTTGGTATGATTATATGTCTACCAGCCATCCTTCTCCCCTGTCACTTAGTGTCTTTTTTGAATAGTGCCTTTTTTTTTTTTTTCCTCCAGGCTAAACAAAGATAGATTCAGTTACTTATTTTCTCTTTCACATGGAAATCTTGGCAGATTTTTAGAGGTGGGATCCAAGAGGTGGCTGTGGGAGAGACATGAAAATTTGAGAAACAAACATTGTTTAGGTAGATGTAAAGACGTTTCTGTGCTTGAGTAAGTTATTTTATTTTATTGTTTTGCCAACAACGCACATGTCAAGAACCAGGTGTAAATCTGCTGTGGTTTGAAAACTGCAATCGGATTTGAAAAACATGCAATATGGGTATTACTTCATTGAAATTCTTTTTTAGTCTCTGTGTTTCTCTCTGCCATTTATATTCTGACCATTGCTTTTTGTACTTTTTCTGATTTTGTCTTTTTTCTTTTCTGTTTCTATATACTTCCAACCACCACTTTCTAAACACTTTTTCCTTATCTGACCATAACTACTTAAGTGACCATAGAACTTATTTGATACTTTAGTTGCTGCGTTTGTGAAACAGGATGTCACATTTCCTATTTACAGTGTAGTGGAATTGCTTTTTACACAATATGAGTCCCACCTTTTTTTTTTTTTTTATTTTGAGATGGAGTCTCGCCCTGTCGCCCAGGCTAGATAGAGTACAGTGGTGTGATCTCGGCTCACTGCCAGCTCCACCTCCCGTGTTCATGCCATTCTCCTGCCTTAGCCTACCAAGTAGCTGGGACTACAGGCACCCGCCACCATGCCCAGCTAATTTTTTATATTTTTAGTAGAGACAGGGTTTCACCGTGTTAGCCAGGATGGTCTCAATATCCTGACCTCATGATCCGCCCGCCTCGGCCTCCCAAAGTGCTGGGATTATAGGCGTGAGCCACCACGCCCGGCCCCGTGTTTTTTTTAATCCTTTTGGTCAGTGGCTCATAGTAAAAAAAGTGTCTCCACTTTTGGTATAAGTGTTCGTGTAAGTTTCAGCTTAAGCTACTAAAACTATGTATATATACCCCTACACACTGGTATATATAAACATAAAAATGATTAATATATAGTATAGTTTCCGTAGAATGGTAAATATTTACCTGTAGTTTTGAATTGATATTAACGAAGTTTATATTTACAAATAACTTCCACGTTTAAACGTAGCACTGAGACCCTTCATTTCCAGTCAGTAGAAGGAGAGTGACTTCTTTACCCAGTCTGGAGGCTTCGTGGTAAAGTTTTTGTATGTGGTCTTAGGAAAGTTTAAGTCTGAAATGGAGTTCAAATAGGAACTTGTAAATAAATGTCCAGATCAAAGGAAAACGGGAAAAAGTTTGGGCTATCAATATAATTAAGACATTTTGGAGCCATTTTTATGGCTTATTATTATATAAGTATATGCTTATATACATGCATGTATATGTGTGTATGTACACACTTAAGAAAATGGCCATGAGCAAGCAGTTTGGTTTTTGAGTTAGAAAAGTGAGACAAAGTACTACTGGGTGGATTTGCTGTTCCCAGCTCCCATAGCAAGCCATAAGGTCAGCCCACTTTGAAAAACAGTAGATCAACTCAGTCTCTTGGCTTTTGGCTTTTTCTGTGAAAACATTTTCACAGTGTAAATCAGTGAAAAAATGGGATTCACTTAACTAGAAATATATTCACATTTAGGTTAGAATGCCTCTGTTTAGGATTAAGACATACCTAATACTGAAAATAAATGTTGTTCAGCATTTTTACAATCAATAGTAATTGTCATTGAATACATGTTTTAAATGATAATCTCATTTTGCCACACATAGTTTAGTCTCTTGTTTGTACATTATATATTGACTTTACTATCTTACAAAGTAGCTATCAATTTGGGCAACATGCAAATGTCCATGAAGGTCTGAGTCTTATTTTTTTAAGTGCTGATTATTTTCTGAAGTATTTTTACGGTTAAAGCTAATGGAGTTTAAATATAACATCACATCGTGTATATGAATCTTTTGGGTGCCCTGGACTCGTACTCTAGGAAATAACAGAGCACATACTTTATTTCATCAACTGAAGTGAAAGTATTCAAAACCAGATTTAGAAATGATAGTATGCCAGTTGTTATTGGATACCTTTTTATACAAAGGAATTTCCTAATTTACTTGTTTTACTTTTACTTTCTTTTCCAGATTTTTTTGTTTTTTCTGTGATTTTTTTATATGTTTTTATATTATTCATCATGTTGTATCCAGTTGCCTCTGTTGACCAGGTTCTTCAGGTAAGACTTAATCACATCATTTGTTTGGGGAAAAAGACTAACCTGTATACATTTCTTTTTTTCCAGAATCTCTTCTTTTTATATATTCTATTATAAGTATATGTCTAGTAGAATTGCTTTTTACACAATATGAGTCCCACCTTTTTTTTTTTTTTTTTTTGAGATGGAGTCTCAAAAAAAGATGCTGTTATATTAACTCAAAGATACTCTACAAAGAATAAAGAACCTAATTAAAATAGCAGCTTTTATTAGCTATACCTGTTTAATCTCTGCTTCTGGTTCCATTTTCATTTGTCTGCAAACAAATTAAATAGCCCTTGGTCTTTAAAAACAAAAAAGCGTTGATCCTGGTACCTGTTACTCCTCTCTTCTCTACCATCTGCTTCTTGAGTAGTCTGCACATGCTCCCTTTTGTTTTTTGGCCATTTAGTTCTTCATTCTTTTCATTAAAAACTTTCTGAGTAATGAAATACTTGTTTTTCTTACAAAAGAATATGTGCACATATTTAAGTTGTTAACTGTAATTAAAAAATGATAAAGAAATAACACCCTGAGTGTATCATCCAGCCTAAAGAAATGAACATTACCTGAGCACAAGTCAGTGACAAAAGAAAACAAAAAAAGGTATCATTGCCAATCAATAAGGCACTCTCATGTACCTGTTTTGATGATTTTCCCTGTCATTCCCTGTTTTCATTATACACTTACCGTGTATGTTTGCAGTCATAAAAGATAGTTTTGTGTGCTCTTGAACTTTATGAAAATGTTAACTTGTTCCCCTTTTTCTGTGACTTGCATTCTCCCATCAACATTGTTTGTTGATACGTGTATTTTATTTTCACTGCTTTATAGTATACATCTCCCATCAACATTGTTTGTTGATACGGGTATTTTATTTTCACTGCTTTGTAGTATACAGTTGCAGGAATATATTAAATTCATGTCTTCATCCTCTGTGGGTAAATATTTACTGAACATACCGCTGCTATGAACATATTTTTCATGTCGTTCAGTGTGTGGGGGTAAGTAGTAGTGTGCCAGAGCGGAGTGGACATATTTTTCATGTCGTTCAGTGTGTGGGGGTAAGTAGTAGTGTGCCAGAGCGGAGTGGACATATGTTTCATGTCGTTCAGTGTGTGGGGGTAAGTAGTAGTGTGCCAGAGCGGAGTGGACATGTTTCATGTCGTTCAGTGTGTGGGGGTAAGTAGTAGTGTGCCAGAGCGGAGTGGGAGTGGTTTACCCAGGGACAAGCAGTGAGACAGTGGTGCGATGCTGCAGAGAATTCGAAAAAGTAATGAAGCCCAGTAGAAGTCCATCTGCTTTTTAAATATTGCCATGTGCTGGTAATTGCAAACACTTCCAGTGGTAGTATACTCCTTCCACTAGTACCCCTGGCAAACCACTTGGGACAGAAGTTTCCTCTGGTGAATCTGGTATCATGATGAGCATGTACTGCTCTTCAGCTACCATGTGGCAAGTTGTTTTCCGAAGTGATTGTGTCAGTCATCCATCAGGGTTTGACATCCTGTTGTTTCATATCATTGCCAACACTTTGTCTTGTCTAGTGGGTGTAAAATGTTATATCATGATGGTTTTACTTTGCCAATTAACTTTACTAATGGAGTTGAGCATTTTTTCATATGTTTAATGGCCATTTTTATTTTCTCTGTGAACTGCCTATTCATGTCTTTGGCCAATATTTTCTACTAGGATGTTGCCTTTTTTTAAACTTAGTTTTCAGAGTTCTTAATGTATTATGTTTGACTGTATAGTGATAAATATCTTCTCCCAGTTTGTGGCTTGTCTTTTTACTTTGTTTATAATATCTGTTTTTAAAAAACAAATTTATAATCTGACAAGGCAAATTTATTAATTTCTTTGTTTGTTCCTTGTGTCTCAGTTTGGCAGACTTGTCCATCTCAGAGTTATAAAGATACTCTCACATTTGGTCTTTAATCCATCTGGAATTAATTTTATGTATAGCTTTTGAATAGGGATCATATTTCTTTTTCTTTTTTTCTCTTACATATACCCATTTGTTTCAGCAATTGCTTATTGAAGTTTGTCTTTTCCCACTGATATTCAGTGATACCTTTGTCCTATATCAGCTTCCTTCCTTCCTTCCTTCCTTCCTTCCTTCCTTCCTTCCTTCCTTCCTTCCTTCCTTCCTTGCTTCCTTCCTTCCTTCCTTCCCTCCCTCCCTCCCTCCCTCCCTCCCTCCCTCTCTCCCACCTTCCTGCCTTCCTGCCTTCCTGCCTTCCTTCTCTCACCCAGGCTAGAGTGCAGTGATATGATCTCAGCTCACTGTGGCCTCAACCTCCTGGGCTCAAGTGGTCCTCCCACCGCAGCCTCCTGGGTAGCTAGGACCACAGGTGTGTGCCACCACACCCAGCAGATTTTAAAATTTTTTGTAATAAAAATTGTAATGGGGTTTCACGGTGTTGCCCAGTCTGGCCCCCAACTCCTGGGCTCAAGTGATCCTCCTGCCTCGGCCTCTGAAAGTGTTAAGATTATAGGCATGAGCCGTGGTGTCTGGCCACAGTTTTGCATATATATAACTAATAGTGTTTTAGGGACTCCATATTTTGTTCTTTAGTTCTCTTTATTTGTGCCAGTACTATATTGTCCATGTTGACCATGACTTTATAAGAAATCTTGATATATGGTTGGGTAGGACTCCTACCCCCACATACATTGTTGTTCATCATGACCTTTTTTGGCTGTGCTTGAGTTTTTCTTCTTCTTCTTCCTTTTTTATTTTTATTTTGTGTGTGTGTGTGTGACAGAATCTGGCTCTGGTGCCCAGGCTGGAGTGCAGCCCACTGCAACCTTCGTTTCTCGGATTCAAGTGATTCTCCTGCCTCAGCCTCCCGAGTAACTGGCACCTGCCACCATGCCTGGCTCTAATTTTTTCTATTTTTAGTAGAGACGGGGTTTTACCATGTTGGCCAGGCTTGTCTCGAACTCCTGTCCTCAGGTGATCTCCCTGCCTTGGTGAGCCACTGTGCCCAGCCAAGCTTTTCTTCTTAACTTTTAAGTTTAGTTTGTCAAATACCAGGAAAATCCCTCTCGGAACTATTAGAATTACACTGAGTTGATCAATAAATTTTGAGGGTGAATTGATTAGTTTTCCTTCCCACAAACAATATCTCTTTCTGTTTGTCTTCTTGACCTAATGTCTTTCAGTAAGTCAGATAGTTTTCTCCCTAATGGTTTTTGCACATTTTTTGTTAGATTCCTGGAGTAATACAGTTTTTGATCCCTTGATAAATTATAATTAAAATGACATTTTCTAATTTTTTATGTTGTTGAATTCAATACAATTGTTTTAGATATTCATCTTGTACCCAGAAGCCTTGTCAGAC